TAAATAAGTTATTATTTAATAAAAACATCTATAAATAGGATTTTGCAATCTATTAGCTATCTATTTAAAAACATTTTTAACCAAAAAAAAAAAGAGCAACTGCAACTTGCAGTAGAATAAACTAAAAAAAGCGAAACACTAAATAAACCTTCAGAAGCATACAACATACCAAAGCAAGCGTGTTCACAACAAAATCTAATCACATAGTAGAGTTACAATAGAATAATTTAGTAGAGTACTAAGTACAGAGTTTGAATTTGTTTTTGTTTGAATACTTATCAATATAGGCAATTTGGGATTTGGCAGATCGTTTGCAGATGTTATCATAATAGTTGGGAGTTATTTGATATTTACAAATCATACTTGTCTGTTTCCACCAAACGGCATACCAGGAAGAGAATGACATAAATTATGCGTCAGAGTAGCTTGCAATTTTTTGTCTGTCAGAGCTTCTTCTTATACCAAGAACAAAATAACTAAATATTTCAATTGACTCTAAAAACAATTTCTGGAATCTAATATCAACAAGACTAAATGCAATTTGTGAAATTTTGACGAAATATGTTTTTCATACGATCAAGGTAAACAGAACAAAGTTTGCTAAACAAAAGTTGAAAATCTAAAACCTAATTGCAATGACTTTATGATTATTTTTTTTGTGTATTCTGTTATAATGTACTCATTGCTGCATTGGCAATCAAGACAAACGCATTTTTTTTTTTTTGGTTACGCTATTAAATGCTGCAATGAAACTTGCCCAAAACTTTTTCAATAAAAAATGATATGCAATTAATTGTTAGCAAGCTAAACAAAATCTCGAAAAAAACCCATCGCATTTACCTACTTAAATTTTCATATAAATAAACTATAAATATTCCTAATGTGATTGTTGCGATGGTTTTTATAATATGCATCAATAAGAGTTCGATTTTCAAAATAATAAAGAAAACCTTTCAATTATTAAGACTTAAAGAATCAATAAATGTAATGGAAAGATTTAAAAATTTTAAGAAAAGTTTTTTGTTTTGATATAATGAGGAAATATAACAAAACATTTAAAGTATATTACAGTATATTTAAAGTATATTAAAGAAAATTATAGGCGATTACGTAAGTGGAATGTCACAAAAAAGTATTTTTGATAAATAACGCGTGAAAAAATGGACCGTATCAAGACTATGTTCCAAATATCGTTCTACGGGGAAGTTGGCAGCAGATAACAAAGGTGGAAGACGGCGTTCCACCACCTTTAGAGTGAACTCTATGATCGTCAGGTCCGTCAAGAAAGATCCCTGGATATCATCAATCGAGATAGAAAAGCAATTAGAGTTGCCTGTATCGAACCGAGCAAACGACGTGCTGTTGAAGCCGGATTGTTTTCTCGACGCCCTGCAAAGAAACAGCTGATTTCACTAAAGAACCAGAAAAAAAGACTCCTGTTAGCTACATCTCATATTGACTGGAATGAGCAGAAATAGAAACTATCATGTTCAGTGATGAATTGAAGTTCAACATCATTGGGAGCGATGGCATTTGCCGTGTACATCGAACGACCGGAAAACGCCTCGATTTACGTTACTACCATAAGACTAT